AGCCGCCGCCGCCGCCTCCCCCGGCTTCGCCTCGGCGCTCGCAGTGCGCAGTGGCGCTGCCCAGCCCCGGCCCCAATCACGTGGGCGTCTAGACACCCTGTCGCTTTAAAAAAAAAAAAAAGTGATTGTGTTGCGCAAACAAGAGATCGGGTTGCTAAAATCTATTTTTTTTATTCCTGAAGTCGAGAGAGAGAGAGAGGGAGAGAGAGAGAGAGGAGCAGGGCACGGATCCGAGCGAGCAGGCTCTTCCCCCAGCCCCGCAGAAGAAAGGGAGGCGACGTGGTGCAGTCGGGTCGCCCCGAGCCAAGGCTGAGCCCCGGGGAGGGAGCACGAGAGCTCCGCAGTGGGGCTTGGCGGAGCCCACGGGCGAGCTGGGCTGCAGGGGGGTGCTGGACCCAGGGCAGGTGGGGGCCAGGAAACGCCCTGAAGTGGGAGCCCCAGAGCTTGCAGGCTCCTGGCTCGCCTGGGTCCTCCGTGCCTGGAGGAGCAGACAGGCCTAGGAGTGTTCAAAAATAAGATTTGCCTTAGTAGATTGCAAATATAGACGCATGCACACACATCTATATACAAGCATGCACACGCATACATACATACACACACAAAATATGCATACATATGCATGTATATATGTATATGTGTGTCTATATGTATATACATGTGTGTGTGTATATAGACGTGTGCATATATATATATATATATATAGATGTGTGTGTATATATATACATATATGTGAATATATACATATGTGTGTATGTGTATATATGTGTGTGTGTACATATGCATGTGTGATGTATGTTATCTCTCGGAAGGACAGGCTGTTTTGTACATTCAAAGAGATAATGAAATGCAATAAATAATAATCATACCTTATGCTTATCCTGCATTGTAAAGTATTTTGCAACTGTGGATACTATCCCCGTTTTTCTTTTTACAGATAAGGACAATGATGCACTGGTATTAATAGAGCACTGTAATCCTTTTATTGGCACTCTGTAGCATTCACTGTCAAAGCGTCTCGGGTGTTAATTATTTAAGCCTGTCACCACTCCTGTCAGGTCCTCTTGTGCCCATTTTGAAGAAGGGTAAATCAAGTCAGGTCAGGGAAATTGTATATAGTGGTGTCTCAACCTGTAAAAGAGCTGGGAAGCCAGTGCTGAGCTCCTAGCACTGTGTTTTAAGCCCAAGGGTCCCAATCTTGCCGACATTAACACAGGTGACTAGTCCCCTAGAATGAATGGGCTAGTCCTATAAATAAGTATTGTCAGGGTCAGAGCCAAGAGCAACTATTAAATTGCCTAAGGTCACACAGTAGGTCAGCGGCAGAGTTGGAAAGAGAACCCAAGACTCCTAAATCATATGTTCTAAAATCTGGCTGCAATAAACACATCTAATTCCAAAATAATTGCTATGAAATAAACAGGACAACACCCAGCAAACACACACAGCACAAAAGTTATTTTTCTATAAAGTTCCAGACCGTGCATACTGGAAATGCTTTATGCTCCTCGGATTGACTTCCCCAGATGCTTTGCATGCAGAAAGGACTGTAGGATCAAATGTGGACCCCCAATCCTGTAAAGACACACAGGTGCAAAGAGACTACCCACAAGCATCTAGTCCTCTGTGGGCGCATCTACATGTGCACTTTAACGTGCAGTAGACTATTTTACTGTGCATTAAAGCATCACATGAAAAAATGACACTACACTAATGCGCAGTAAAAGTCTACTAGTAGTAAGTCTTTTTTAACAGTCATTTAAAAAGCATGCAAATGTGCTACTGTGCACTAGCACAGCCTAATGCTCATTAATTTAGTACCTCACATTAGAGGTATTAAATTTGCTGCGCATTAGAAAAGGCACATTAATGCACGTGTAGACTTGCCCTGTACTAACGCAAGATCAAGGCCTAAACTTGATAAGCCTGGTCTTTTGGGGAGCCCAATTCAATTACCATTAAAATATGCCAGCCAAGGCACAAAATCTTTGCCTTCATGATCACCGACAATGAAAAGCCATATATTTTACTTGCTCATTTAAAAAAAACTATTTTCTCAGGGGATGTGCGTGAAGAATTTTGCCAGGCAAATTATGTGGGGGAGGTCTGAATGAAGGAGCACACATCTGAAATCTGACTCCCCAAATTAGGTGGTAAATCAAAATGCAGGTACAAAGCCAAACTGTATTATATTTAGTCCACCATATTTTTCACTTCCTGAAAAGCTGCAGCCCTGAGTAGAATACATCATAGTAATCTAACCTTGACGTAACAAAGGTTTAGGTGTCTCTACAGAACAAGCAGGGTGTCACCACAACTACGTTTGTGTTTCTGTTTAAATGCTTTGGAGGCTTATAAAATGGACAACTATTTATATTTCTTCTTCTCAACATTGATTTCACAAACCTTGGATATGTCCTTATTTTTTCCATCTGTTTCCTCATTTTTTCATAGGAATGTACAGAATCTCCAAGACTTTTTTCATTCTGATGCACACGATAACTAAGATCATGAAAGAGCTCCTTTCCCTTGCTTCATCTGGCACTAAGAAACAGATTAGACTAAGACACACCTGTTACCAAGTGCAGCATATTATTTAAATAAAAAAAAAACCAAACAGGTTTCCAAATTGTTATACATGAGATTCATTTAAATATTGTGAGTTGTACTGTTTGTTGTGACCATGACATTTACAAAAATCTTTGCACTTAACACTATCTGTTGTGGCTTCTGTTTGTATTGTGCGCGGTGTGTGTTGTACTAGTAAATTCTCTGCTTGTATTGTGAGTTACTTTTGTGATGGTAATTATTTATTACAGTAAGAATAAATCAGCATGACAAAAATAGTAACTAGCAATATGCTGTGTCAAGGTTCAATGGACAGGGCAGGGAAATAGGACTCAGGAGCCTAGGCTGCTTTTCTAGCTGTACTACTAATTTGCTATGTGATACTGAGCAAATCACTTAGTCAGTGGCTTCAACTCTTTTGCATTTAAATGCCCATCTGTAAAATGGGGATAATATGTAATACTTTGTCCTCTATAAAGTACTTTGAGTTCTGCAGATGGAAATGTGATATTCTGCATGTATGTAGTCCTAGGGAAAACATCTGATTCAGCCTGTGAAGTTTAATTAAATGTCTAGGGAAGAAATTTAATTCTATGACCAATGTTAAACATTGGAAACATATATACTGTATATGATGTGTTTACTATTTGAAAACCAGGCTTTTCTCAAAAGTTAGGCCCTTCCTGACCAATTGCATCCTACTGATTTTGAAACCTAGGTGTACATATGTGCCTAAAGCAATAGGTACTCGTAAGAAATTAAAGGGGCAAAAATCTATGTTACCTTTTTCTGGAACATTTACTAAAAAAAACAACTAATAAAAGCCAAGGTAGATGTTAATGTTGACAGTGTCCCTGTCAGTGGTGTAGGTGCAAGCCAGACATTCTTACAGCTGCTGGGGTCAGTCTAGAAGCAAGAACACTGATACCGAAATCTAGGGAGATTAACATTCAAATCATGGGAGCATAGTATTTTATTTTCAAAGACAGAAATTAGATCCTGCTCAGGATGGGACTCCAGGAAATTTGTCCTGTGCACTTTAAATGGGCCTTTTTTTGTGCGGCTGAAGGGTTTGGCCTTTGAAAAAGACCTTCCTCAACAGTGTAAATTGGAGGTGACTTCTTGTCTGCTTCCCCACCTCTATTTTTAAGAAAGGGGGGGAAAAACCCTATATGTGCACATGTACTAAATGTATTAACACAAATACATACATATATACATTATCACATGTAAGTAATATCAAATACAATCTCAATGGTATGCCATCTTTTTCAGACGCCATTCATACGGGGGAGTTCTGGAGACCTTTCTATAACCTACTTGTCTTTGAAGAGTTAAAGGTGAGCAATAAAGTGAAGTTAATTTGCATTGCAATTCAGCATTTGACAGACAGTTGGAGCCAGGACACTGTTAACCTAATTGTTTTACTAACAGCACCAGGGTGTGAGACACAGTAAAGGCACATACACAAAAGATAAAATGAAGCTTGGAAAAAACC